CACATTTGTAGATTTTCCAGCTTTACTCTTCTTGTTGATTTCCAGCCTCATACCATTTCAGTGAAAAAAGATACTTGGTATGATTTCAGTCTTCTTAAATTTGCTAAGACTTGTTTTGTGGCCTGTCATATGATCTATCCTGGAGAATGTTGTGTGTGCATTTGAGAGAACGTGCTTTCTGTTGCTTTAGATAGAATGTTCTGTGAGTGTCTGTTAGGTCCATTTGGTCTAATGTATGTTTCAAGTGCAAGGTCTCCTTGTTGATTTTTCTGTCTGGATGATCTATCCATTGCTGATTGTGGGTCATTAAAGTCCCCTAATAGTATTATATTGTTACTTTTCCCTTAAGGTCCGTTAGAATTTGCTTAATATATGTAGGTGTCTCAACTTTGTATGTTTATCATTGTTAATCATTATATAATGACCTCTTTTATCTCATTACTGTTTTTGGCTTAAAATCTATTTTGTCTGATGTAACTCTCCCTGCTTTCTTTTGGTTTCTATTTGCATGAAATATCTTTTTCCATCCCTTCAATTTGAGCCTACATGTGTCATTAAAGCTAAAGTAAGTCTCTTATAGCCAGCATATAGTTGGGTTTTTTAAAAAAAAACCATTCAGCCACTGAGTTTTGATTGGAGAATTTAGCCCATTTATATTTAATGTGATTATTGGTAACAAATTGGCAATAGTAAGCCCTTACCTAATTGTTTTCTGGTTGTTTTGTATTTCCATTCTTCACCCTCTGTTTCTGCTTGTTTTTGTAATTTGATTTTCTGTGGTGATATGCTCTGTTTTCCCTTTAATCTTTTGTGCCTCTACTTCAGAAATTGGCTTTGTGGTTACCATGAGGCTTATATGAGGCATCTCATAGATAAAATCCATTTTAAGCTGATAGCAACTTCACTTACAAAATTCTCACTCTTTACCCCCATTTTATATTTTTGATGTCACTATTTTTCTTTTGTGTAGTATATTTAATAAATTGTAATAGCTATAATAATACTTTCACCTTGATCTTTATATTATAGCTAATAGGTTAATACACCATTGTAACCTGACTCGTATGTTCTCGTGTCATGATTAGCATCCTTTCACTTCAGCTGGAAGAACTCTTTTCTGAATTTCTTGTAAGGAGGGTCTAGTGTGATAAACTCCCTCAGCTTTTGTCTGGAAAAGTCTCTATTTCTCCTTCATTTCTGAAGGATAACTTTACCAGATAAAGTGTTCTTGGCTGGCAGTTTTTTTCTTACAACACTTTGAATATGTCATCCCACTCTCTCCTGGCCTGTAGGGTTTCTGCTGAGAAATCCATTGATCACCCAGTGAAGGTTTCTTTGGAGTTTAAAATCTTTTCTTCTCTGGGTACTTTTAGGATTCTCTTTGATTTTTGACAGTTTGTTATAATTACTGTGTTTTTGGGAAAGCCTTTTGGCATTGAGATAATAGGGTGGTTATTCTGCTTCCCGAATTTGGGTGTCCAAGTGTTTCCCCAGGTTTGGGAAGTTTCAGCCATTATTTCTTAGATAAACTCCCTGCTCTTTCTTTTCTCTTTCTGGAACTGCAATTTTTCTGATATTTTATTTTTGATGAAGTCCCTAGATTGTCTAGGCTTTCGTAATGCTTTTTCATTCTTTGTTATCCTCTGACTGGGTTATTTCAAAGTTCCTATCCTGTAGCTCACTGATTCTGTCTTCCATTTTATCCACTCTGCTGTGGGTGCCCTCTATTGCATTTTTCATCTCATTTGTTGAATTCTTTAGGCCAAGAATTTTTGTGTGTGTGTGTGATTTCTCTTTGTTAAATTTTTCTTTTTGTTCATGTACTGTTTTTCTGATTTTTGTTTCTGAAAAAAACCCTTTGTGTATTTTATATATTTTGTTAGTCACCATACAGTACATCATTAGTTTTTGATGTAGTATTCCATGACCCATTGTCTGCAAATAACATCCAGTGCTCCATGCAATATGTACCCTCCTTACTAACCATCACTGGGCTAACCCCTCCCCCCTAAAACCCTCAGTTTCTCAGAGTCCATAGTCTCTCATGGTCGTCTCCCCCACCCCGATTTCCCCCCCTTCATTTTTCCCTTCCTTCTCCTAATGTCCTCCATGCTATTCCTTATGTTCCACAAATAAGTGAAACCATATGATAATTGACTTTCTCTGCTTGACTTATTTCACTTAGCATAATCTCCTCCAGTCCCATTCATGTTGGTGCAAAAGTTGGGTATTCATCCTTTCTGATGGCTGAGTAATATTCCATTGTATATATGGACTACGTCGTCTTTATCCATTTGTCTGTTGAAAGGCATCTCAGCTCTTTCCACAGTTTGGCTATTGCGGACATTGCTGCTATGAACATTGGGGTGCATATGGCCCTTCTTTTCACTACATCTGTGTCTTTGGGGTAAATACCCAGTAGTGCAATTGCTGGATCATAGGGTAGCTCTATTTTTAACTTTTTGAAGAACCTCCACACTGTTTTCCAAAGTGGCTGTACCAACTTGCATTCCCACCAACAGTGTAAGAGGGTTCCCCTTTCTCCACAACCTCTCCAACATTTGTTGTTTCTTGCCTTGTCAATTTTTTGCCATTCTAACTGGTGTAAGGTGGTATCTCAGTGTGGTTTTGATTTGAATTTCCCTGATGGCTAATGATGATGAACATTTTTTCATGTGTCTGTTAGCCATTTGTATGTCTTCTTTTGAGAAGTGTCCATGTCTTCTGCCCATTTTTTGACTTTTTTGGGTGTTGAGTTTGAGAAATTCTTTATAGATGTTGCATATCAGCCCTTTGTAGTGTTATTTGCAAATATCTTCTCCCAATCTGTGGGTTGCCTCTTTGTTTTGTTGACGGTTTCCTTTGCTGAAGCTTTTTATCTTGATGAAGTCCCAAAAGTTCATTTTCCCTTTTGTTTCACTTGCCTTTGGAGATGTATCGTGAAAGAAGTTGCTGTGGCTGATGTCGAAGAAGTTACTGCCTATGTTCTCCTCTAGGATTTTGATGGATTCCTGTCTTACATTGAGGTCTTTCATCCATTTTGAGTTTATCTTTGTGAATGGTGTTAGAGAATGGTCAAGTTTCATTCTTCGGTATATAGCTGCCCAATTTTCCCAGCACCATTTATTGAAGAGACTGTCTTTTTTCCATTGCATTTTTTTTCCTGCTTTGTCGAAGATTATTTGACCACAGAGTCGACGGTCCATATCTGGGCTCTCTATTCTGTACCATTGTTCTATATGTCTGTTTTTGTGCCAGTACGTATCAGCTAGATCACAAACTTCATTCAGCCTTTATGTTTGGATATTGGAGGATTATTGTTACCTTTTGGTGGTGACATATTCCTTGATTCTTCACATTCCTTGTAGTTTTGTGTTGCTGCTCTGGGATATGGAGTGGTGGACACCACCTCAGTCTTTGCAAGTTGCCTTCAGGTGGGAGGTGCTGTTAGTTGGTACTGTTAGATTTGGACTTTGTCTCTGGGTGGATGCACCTGCTCCATGCTTCTGCCCCCTCTTGAGGGAGAATTCTTGAGCTTGAATGTCTTCTCTGGTCTGTAGAACTTACCTCTCTTGGTTCCCAGAAGGGGGCACTACAGATACCTGGGTGGTGTCTCCTCTGCACCCAGGGAGCCAGCCACAGCACTGGGGAGGTGTGGGTTCAGTACTCTGGGTGCTGGGGATCCTCAGGTGAGGTTCTTCCAGAAGCTAATGGGTGAACTTCTAGTTGACATCCTGTCATCAGGACGGTGTCCCTTCAATGCCCTTTGATCTTCTCTTCCCTGGAGTCATGGACATCCTGCCTCAGTACTCTGGGTGCTGCCAGAGAGAAATGGGTTTCTCAACTGCAGCATCCCACATAGCTGGGGAAGCCGTGTACTCCAGGTTCTCCCTCCCACCATGGGAGAGGTTGTTACCTGCCTGTTGAGCCCCCTGTGTCGCCTTTGGGGAGGGGTGGTACTGGCAAAGTTCCTCTTACCATTTCCAGTGCATCCAGACTCCAAGGACATGCTGAAACCTCCCCTTGGGGCAGGCTGGACTCCCACAAGGCCTCCCTTGCCTGTGAGTGTCTGTCCAAGTTAGCCCTTTCCTTGATGGCAGTGAGAGGGCTTGGGCAGGCTCCCTGGCTCCAGCTGGGTTGGCAACCCCTATGGACATCTGTGTGCCTACTACCGGATGCAGTTGGGTGACCCTCCTCCCACATCCTCTGGCATATGGATCTGTATCCCAGAGGCACTTTCGTTCGTGGATAGGTACTGGCCTGATTAGTTGTTTAAAAATGGAGACAAAAAACAGGGCTGTCTTACACTGCCGCGATATTCTGAATGCTTCTCTAATGCTCTAGTTACGTCTATACTGGCCTGGGATGGTCCCCTAATTTCCCCTGGTGTCTGCCCAGGTATTACACTGACATGTCTATCTCCCTGTTGATACCTAGTTCCCTGTCTAACCAGACTTGGATGTTTCTCTAGTTCCCCATGTAGGTCTATGATGACCTGGGATGTCCCTCTCAAACCCCAGTGTGTCTACACTCACCTGGTGTATCTCTCTTTCATCAGTAATGTCCACCCTGACGTCTCCCTTGTCACTCTGGATTGTCTAACAGGACCAGGATGTCTAATCCCATGCGGAGTCTGTGACCTGGAAGGACACTCTGACTTGGGATGTCCCTGTCTGTTGTGCATTTGGGTGTCTCCCTGCTGCAGGTGTGTCTTCTCTAACAGGTGATGCTGTTTCCCCAGGGGAAGCTACCATGATCTAGGATGTCACCTTGATTCCTCAAGTATTTCTATGTGGACCCAGGAAATCTCCCTAATTCCCCAGTTCTGTCAACCCTGATCAGGGATGCCTCCCTACTTACCCAGGTGTGTGTGCACTTGCCTGGAATGTCTGATTACGCTGGAGTGTCCTAACCTGAGCTGTCGTTCCCATTAAGGTGTACAGTTAATGGGGATGTCTCCATATTTCCTGAGGTGACTTTTCTATAACCCAGGATGATGTCGGCCCTGACCTAGAATTCCCTCTAAACCCCAGTGTTACTCCTCTTACCAGGGAGGTGAACCTTGCTCCCCTGGTGTGTCTTCCTTTGCAGGTTAGATACAGCTGGGGAATTTGAGACATAACTGAAACTCCTTAGAAGTGACCTCCTCTATTATAGAATGTCTATGACTACGATAAGTATTTGTGCAGTATTTAGCCAGTTCTGCAGGCACTTGCCTCGCCTTAGCAATACTGTTCTTATTCAGAGAATAAATAGTCTAGTACATGTTTTGCTTAAATAACACAAAAAATTGAAACCCAATTACACATTATGAAAAATGCGGATTGGCTTGTAAAAGTAAAAACCCAATCTGATTTAACCAGCTAAAATGATCAAATGGGTATGTTGGCTTTGGGGTATTTTCCAAACACTTGGTATTATTCTCCTAATCATATTAATGATATCCCTGTGGGTTGTATTTTTTTTAAGAGTCTTCAGTGCTTTTCAGCAGCCACTGACTAATTAAACCACCTCTATTCCATATGAACTGAACAACAAAATTACCTGAGCAAGAATTATCAGATTCCCATTCACGACCTTCAGATGTCCACAGAAGAAGGATCATGTGACAACTAAGAGCAATGCTCAATAGTCGGCCACTCTCAGTTCAACTGAGACTACGATCAAAAGGTAAGGGAGGGGGGGTTAAAAATGAAAAGGAGATCACAATTTGGATATGTGGTGACTCCTACTTACCCAACCAGATCTTAAAACTGTCCTGATTCCAAAAATGTGAACTCCAAGTTGAAACAAAACTAGCTTAGATTCTGTAAAATCGTGCTCACATGAGGAAAGCTGATGTAATGAAAAGAATGTGAGCTGCTAATTACCAATCCCAATGGAAAACGATGTACTTACTAAACTGAGCTGTAATAGCCAAGAGCAGAGTTTCTTAGCCACTTTCAGTTTGAATGTTTCCCAGTTCCCAAAATGCTTATTTCCCCGCTCAATAAAATATTCATCTCAATAAAACTCATTGAATTTTCTTTTGATAGACACACCTACAGAATTAGACACTGCAAACCTGTGGAATTAGGGAGACAGGTCAGAGTAGATACACGTGGGGATTAGGGAGACATCCCACATCAGTGTAGAAATGCCTTGGGAACTAGAGAGATATGCCAGTCCAGTGTAGACAAACCCAAGGAATGAAGGGGATATCCTGAGTCAGTGTAGACACACCTGGGGACTTAGACCTATGAGGTCAGAATAGAAACATATGGGAAAATGAGACATGCCAGGAAAGGGTAGACATAGTTTGTGCATTAAGGAGACCATTCATCTCGGAATAGTTACACTTGGGGAGTTAAGGATGACATCCCTCATCATAGAAGACATACCTGGGGAATTAGAATTCAAAGATCATGATAGAAACAGTAGGGCTTAGGGAGACATTCCAGATCAAGTGAGACATTCCTGGACAGAGGAGAATAACCTGGGGAAATACAGTTCCTAGGTCAGAATAGACACAATCTGGAAATGAGGGAGACCTATAATGTCCAAGATGATGCACCTGGAGAGTAGTGAGACTTCTGAGCCAGTGTAGACACACCTGAGGAATTAGGTACACGTACAAGTTTGGGTCAACATACCTGTGGAACTGGGGAGCCACCCTAGGTCAGTTAGGACACACTTGGAGAATCAGGGAGATATTCCAAGTCAGGGTAGAGACACCTTGGGGGAATCAGAGAGACATCCAAGTTCAGAATAGATGTACCTGGGGTGTTATGGAAACATTCATGCATGTCTGATTGCACAGCTGGGGATCTAGGGTGACTTACCTGGTCAGAATAGTTACCACTGGGTGACTAGAGAGACACCACAGGTCAGGACAAACATGTATAAGTAGTGACACATCGCAGGTGGGAGCACACACCTGCCTGGAATTAGACATTCCAGATTAGTGAAGGAAACCACAAAGACTTAGGATATCCAACAACTTGGATAAAATAGACGGATATTTGCAGAGACACCCCACATTGATGGGGACACACCTGGAAGAATGGAGATAACACAGGCCACATAACACACCAGATGAATCGGGGAGACATTCCAAATCAGGCTAAACACAACTGTGTTGTGGGATTAGTAAGACAACCCAGGTCAGCACAGACAAACCTGGGTTATTAGGAAGGTAGGTCAGGTCAGATCTGATACACTAAGGAAATCAGTGAGATCGCTCAGGTCATCGTAGACCCAACTACAGGATTAGAGATACCTCCCAGGTCATAGTAGATACAACTGGGGATTAGTGAACTATTCCATGACCGTGTAGACACACAAGGGTAATTAGGGAGATTACAAAGGGTCACTATAAACCCAAATGAGAACTAGGGACAAATAATGGCTGAGAATTAGGGAGACAGTCAAGTTTACTGACACACAGGTGAGAATTAGTTCATGTCTGTGTAGATATACCTTGGAAATTAGGAAGACTTCCCAGGTCAGTGTAAACACTTTAGGCAATTATGGAGAGAACCTAGGTCACAGAAGTCCTACCTGAGGACATACCAGACTGGTATGGACACATCTATAGACATCTGGGGGAATTAGAGGGAACTCCCATGTCAGAGAAGGCACACTTGGGTATTGCGGTGACATGCCAGGTCAATTTGGACACATGTATAGATCCAGGGAGTCATCCCCAGTCAACCCAGTAGACACTTCTGGGCAATTAGGGAAACATCAGGGTATGCACCAGGTACTAGCATGGACATAACTGGAAATTCTGGAGACATGAGTCGTGAATGTTGAGGCACTGGGGAAGCCAGCAAAACATCCCAGTTCAGAGTAGACACCCCCGGGAATTAGACTATTATCCCAATCAGTGCAAACACACTTGGGAATCAGAGATATTCCAGAGTAAATACACCTAGGAGACATCACTGGTTAATGTAGACACACTTGGAATGATGAACACAAGACTGGTCAAGGTAGACCCACCTATGAACTAGGGAGACATCCCGGTCAGAGTAGAAACCCGTGGGAGGGAGGTAGAACTCTCAGGTCAGTACAGACATACTGGGGGAAATAGACATCCTTGGTCAGTGTAGAAACAACTGGGCATACAGAGGATCTCTCATTTCAGAGAAGACACACCTAGAAATTAGGGTGAAATCCCAGGTCAATGTATACAACCTGGGGACCTAGGGCAACATTGAAATTCAGAGTCACTCCCGGCAAACTAGGAAGATACCTATGTTTAGTGTATGCACACATAAGGAATTAGGAGATGTCCAAAATTAAGGTGATCAAATCTGGGGAATTAAGGAAATATTCCAGGTCAGCATAGACACTCCTGTGAAGTTAGGGAGATATCCCAAACCAAGGGGAGACAAATGTGGAGAAGGGAGAAAACCCAAGTCAGATTAAACATACCTGGGGAACTAGTGAGAAATCCAGGTTAATGAAGTTATTGAGATAACCCAGGTCAGGGAAGACACACCTGGGGAAATATGGAGACATTCCAGGTCACCATAGACATATGAGGGGGATTATAGAGTTACCCAGTTTCAGAGTACACAAGCCTATGAAATTAAGGAGATATCCATAGTCAAGCCAGACACTCCTGGGAACTAGAGAGAGATGCCAATTTAGGGCAGACATACCTGGAGACCTAGGGAGACACCCCTAATTAGGTAGAAACAAATGGGAAATTAGTGAGATGTCCTAGGCATGGTAGACCCACCAGGGAAAACAGAATTCCAAGAGCAGGGTAGAAATACCTAGGGAATTAGGGAGATACCCCAAGTCAGGACAGCACACATGGGAAATTATAGAAATATCCCAGTTCAGGGTAGGCACATCAGGAGACAGACAATCAGATCAATGTAGACACCCCTGGGGAATTTGGAAATTCTCCCTAGGCTGAGTACCTCCCTAGACACACCTTTTAAAACTGAGAGGCCAACCTATATCAGTGTAGACACATTTGATGAATTAAGGAGACATTGCTAGTCAGGCTATATGCACCAAGGGGAACTAAAAAACATTCCAGGTCAGGGGCATCTGGGTGGCTCAGTCGTTAAGCGTCTGCCTTCAGCTCAGGTCATGATCTCCCTAAATCACTTAAGCTATCAAGGAAGCATGGCAGGTCAGTGTAGACACAACTGCTGATAAAGGGAGATATCCCAGGATGGTGTAGACACACCTCAGAATTAGGGAGACATCTCAGGTCAGGAGATCAATACCTGGTGACTTAGGCAGACATCCAAACTCCGGGTAGACACACCTAGAGGATTAGACCCATCGAGTCAGAGATTTAGGGAGACACCCCAGGTCCTGCAGACTCACCTATGGAACTAGGGAGCTATCCCAGATCAGGTAGAAACCCCTGGGGAATGAGGGAGCCGTCCATGTAAGACAGACCCATCTGGGGAATTAGGTAGACATCTCAGGTGATACTAGACACATCACACTCAGATTCCCCAGCACAGACACACCCGGAGCATTAGGGAGCCCTCCCTGGTCACGACAGACACACACAGGCTTTAAGGAAACCTACAAGGTAAAGGTAGACACAACTGGGTAGATTTGAAAACCTCTCCAGTGAGCGTAGCCACACCCAGGTTTTAGGAGACAACCCAGTAACGGTAAAGAAAACCCGGGGAAATACGGACACATCCTTTGTCAGGGAAGACACCTGAGGAATAAGGGAGAGATGCCAGGTCACTGTAGACATACCTGGGTTATTAGGAGATATGCCCTCTCAGTGTAGACACATCTGGAGAAATTGGGCACTATCCCAGTTCACAGTAGAAACATCAGAGTTATGAGACATTCCAGATCCTAACACACACCTTGTAAATGTGGGTGACATCCCAGGACAGGGTAGACAAGGCTGGGGAATTTGTGAGACTTCCCTGGTCAGCATAGGCACATGAGGAATATTTGGTAGACATAGCCAGTCAGTGTGGACACACCTGGAGAATTAGGAGACACCCGGATTGAACAGACACACCTGGGCAATGAGCAATATAGCCCATGTCTATGTAGACATAATTGGTAAATTAGAGAGAGCCCCCAGGCCAGTGTTGACACATCTGGGTAATTAGGGAGATATCCCAGGTAAGAGTAGACAAACCTGTGGAATTACGAAGACAGCCCAGGTCGTAGAACACACACCTGGGAAATCAGAGAGCATCCCAAGGGTAGAAACACAGGATAAATTATGAAGATATCCAACGTCAGGGTGGATACTTTAGGAATTCCAGGGACATAGCAGGTCCGAACAGATAATAGAACTGTAGGGGCACCATCCCAGCCCAGGGTGGACACCACTGGGGAACTGGGGACACATCCCAGCTCATGGGGACTAGGGAGAGGTCTCATGTCAGTGCAAGCACACCTAAGGTACTGGGGAAACCTTCAGGTCTATATTGGGAAGGCAACCCAAGTCAGAGAACCAGACACATGTCGCTGGTGACTGCAGACCATTGAGCTCCTGCTCAATGACAGTGGGTTTTCATGTCACAGTGCACCTGCTGGGAATGAGGAAGACATTCTAAGTCAATGAACACAAACATGAGGAATTAGGCAGACATCTCAGGTCAGGGGTAGACACACTTGGGAATGAGTCATCCCAGGGCAGTTTAGCCAACCTAAGTTACAAGAGCACCATTGCAGAATGGGGTGGACAAACCTGGGGATTGATGGAGACACCCCAAGTCTGTGAAGACCTGGGAATGAGGGTGATGACCCAGGTCAGAGCATACACCTGGGGAATCAGGGAGCTACCCCTGGTCACTTGAAATATCAGGGAAGTAGATACAGCTGCAGAATAGAAGGAATGTCCAGGGTCAGGGCAGAAATACCTGCTTAGAATGGTGTCCTCCCAGTTCAGACCATACCCAGGAGACAGCAGGTGCACGTCTCTGTGCTGAGAGACACAGCAAGGCAGTTAGAGAAAAAGCCCCGTCAAAGTAAACACACGTAGCAAATAGCTGGACACAGCGAATGAACTGGAGGTAAATATTTGGAGAAAATACAGCAAGTTCATATCCTTACTATATTAAGAGTGCGTTCAAATCAGTGGCAAGTTCCTCGGTAAACAGGGCAGACACAAGGTTATAAAAGACACACAGAAATAGCTGGTAAAGAACCGAACATCGCCAGGTCTCAGACACGCGAATGAGAAGACAATATACCTTTGTCAGCTGCTTGAGGAAAGAGTAAAACTGTAATAATCGAGCTGACAGGGTCCAGGGAACGGGTCTCGTCAGGGACTCTCAGGGCTGGGGAACTGTCGGCTGCACACTCTGGGCTGGCTTGGTGACGTGTGTCAAAGCCTTCGACCCCGAACAGGCTCCTGCAAGGACAGGCTCCCAGGACGGGCGCCCAGGGGTCGGCAGCGACAGACGCGAGGCAGCAAGCACGCCGACGACAGAGCGAGGCTCCAGTAAGACAACAGGACTTGACTCCGGGAGGCGTCCGCACAGCGCGAACTGCAATAAAACATCGTGCGGACCCACAGTCGCTGGGACGACGCGGAATTAAAAGGAGAACTTTGTGTGTATCGTGGCCCACTTTTGTTTCAAAGCCCACGCGTGGCATCGACCTGCGGAAAACTGCCCGGGCCGAGAGAGAACCAGCAGCCGGCCGCGGGTGGGGTCCGGAGGCCGGGCCTCCTGCTTCCTTCGATGCTCCCTCACTGGTTTGCTTCCTCTCACGAGGGGAGCCACGCGTGGGTTCCAGGTCGGGGAGGGAGAGCTCCCCCCGCCTCGGACCGCAGGCCTGACCCCTGGCCGGGCGCGAGGGTCCGGGGCCACCCGGGACAAGAAGAGCCCGGGAGGGGCCCCCAGCCTGCCGTGCACCTGCCAGGGGCTCCCAGGGCCCCGCAGAGCCGGGAGCTGCCCGGGGCTTTGGCCGCTGGGGCCACGGCCCAAGGCCAGGTTCGCAGCCCAGCTGGACGCTGCGGGTCCGCGGAACGGGCGGCCGAGCACGAGCCCCTTCTGTCCTCCGGAGCAGCCTCCTTTCTCCTCGGGGACCAGCTGGTGGCCTGGGCCCCTCGTGCATGGTCCCCAGGACTCCCCTCCCAGGAATTCCTGGGCCAGACGCCCCCCACGCCCCATCTGCACCCTGCCTGCCTCAGCAGACCGCGGCCCGCCTGCGGGAAAGGCCGGGCACAAGGGCCACACCGTGGCCACAATGGCGTGAGAGGTGGGCACCGTCTGACCTTGTGCTCTGGTCCCGAACGCTAGGTCAGGGGCAAAGTCAGACGCGGACGCACAGATGGTTCCTTTAATCAAGGGGGAGGTGGATCCTTTGTCAGACGAGGGAGGGCTCGTGACGCTTTCCTTTTCTTTCTTTAATCCACAGCTCCGTCATCCCGGTCCTGCAGGAAACACAGCAGAGGTTCAAAGGAGACGCCGCGTGAAAGAAGGGGCTCCTTAGGGAGGGTCCACACAGGAGGCAGGAGACCCAGAGAGGAGCCACGGGGAGCTGTTTCCACCCCTGGCCT